GGTTGTTTCTCTTGTGTGTTTGCCCTGTGTGTTTGGTTGTTTGTGCATGAACTTGGACTCTGATCTTCACCAGATTTTGCCTGTTTTCTCTGGATTGATCGATGCCAACCGGCTCGCATCAACCTATCATCTCCTCGGTGTTTCTATGGATTTTCTTTTTTGTGAGTTTTATCACGCACAGGTCCAGGGCCTGTCATCAGATGACTGCTTGATACTGAATCACTCTGTAGGGATTGAGTGTACCAGGCTAGGATAGACTATTTAAGGAGGCGAGGCGATGGTATTGGCCTCCTAAGTCGAGTTGTGGTTCGATGATGATCACGGTACCTCCTGATGATGCTACTGGCAGGGTAGTACAAACGCGTTGAGGGATGGTCGCATTGGTTTGAGGATTTATATGGCGGATCAAGTCTTAGACTCTTTGGGTTGGATTTTAAGGCCTTGTACTTTATGTGTAATTTTTTCGGGCTTTGTTGTTCCCTTTTGTGTTTCATACTCCGCTCGATTTGCGTGCATCCAGGATCATGTGTATTGGTGGATTTCTCTATTCTAGCTCATGCGAGAGACTGTTTGCCGACAGTTCCTCTTCTCTTCTTCAAAGCATTTGACGGAGAGCCTGACTTCGTCCCCTACTTTGAATGTGATATCTGGTCCATGTTTGTTGGTCTTGTTGGCTTGTTGTTGTTGGGTTCGTTCAAGGGCGTCGATGACTTTTTTGAGGAGGCGGTTCATTGTTGCATTCATTGAGAGAAGGACTGGGAGTGGATGGGTTGAGTTGCGAGGAGAGCAAGAAGTTAGAGGGCAAGCGGGGATGGTAGCCAAGGTCAAGGTAGTATGGGGAACACCAGTGGAAGGGGAGACAACGTTGTTGTAGGCAATCTCGAGGGCGGTGAGCAACTGATCCCAGTCATGCTGGTGTGGATGACAATACTTCCGCAGGATCCTTCAGAGAGTATCGTTCATCTTTTCGGTCTGACCATCTGTCTGGGGATGGAATGCAGTGTTGTACTTTAGAGTGGTGTTGTAGGCTTTGAACAGGTTTTTCCCGAATTGGGAAAGAAAGCGAGGATCACAGTCACTGATGATGTTTTCTGGTAGACCGTGATGGCGTGCAACATGATCGAAGAAGAGTGTGGCGACGTCCTTGGCATTGTGAGAAGTGGTGCAAGTGATGAAATGGACCCGTTTGGTCAAGAGGTAGACAATTACGTAGATGCTGTCATAGCCGCGTTCGATCTTGGGGAGACCACAAACGAAATTCATAGAGATGGACTGCCACCGATGGGTGGGGATAGACAATGACTGGAGCTTACTAGGCTTGGCATGGTTTGAGGGATTGATTGCTTGACAAGTGGGGCATGAGCGGATGTATGCTTTGATGTCAATGAGGAGTGAGGGTCAATAGAAGTATCAAGAGATGATGTCGAATGTCTTCTGGAAACCAAGGTGTCCTGCGGTCTTGGCGTCGTGGTGTTCAGCCAAGAGTTAGGTACAGTGACCATGTGCGTCAGGGATACAGAGTCAGCGAGTGCCTTTAGTGTTAATGTAGAAGAGGTTGTCGTGGAGGGAGTAGTCGGGGACGGTGTCGAGGTCGCAACGCTTGTTGTAGATGGTAGAGAAATTTGGGCATGAAGAGTACTCATGAGTGTAGCGGTGATGGAGTGAAGGTAGGAGTTAAACATGGGTTATGGCGGCATAGACTTTCTCAGGGGTTTTGTGATCAGGCCGTCGAAAGAGGGCATCGGCGACGTTGTTGCTTTTGTCGGGGGTGTGACAAATGGAAAATGTAAACTGGGTGAGAAAGTCTAACCGTCGAGCTTGGTGGGTTGTGATATCTTTCTTGGTGAGTATGCTTGAGATGATGGTGTTGTCGGTGCGGATAGTGAAATGCTGACCGTCGAGGTATGGGCACCAGACTTGGGCATGGATGACGGTAAGGAGTTCCTTCTCATTGGAGGGATAGTCCATCTCGGCAGGGATGAGCTTCTTGCTCGCAAATGAGATAGGATACTCGTTGGGTGGATCCTCGGAATGGGTAGGGGAATCCTTGATGGATGGGGGGTCCGGGATGTCGCGAGGGAAGTGTCGGGACAGGAAAGCTCCAAGAGCAAAGTCTGAGGCATCGGTGATAACATAAAAGTGTCGAGAGGGGTTAGCAATCTTGAGGACAGGGGCGGTGGTAATGACTTGTTTGAGGAGGTCGAAAGTGACCGACGGTGTTCATTCCATGCAAAAGGCTCGTTCTTGTGAGTGAGCTCCTAGAGGGGGTAGGAGATTTCAGAGAAGTCACAGATGAAGGGGCGGTAGTAGTTAGCAAGACCGAGGAAGGAACGAAGTTGCAGCAAGGTCGTAGGTGGGGGAAACTCGATAAGGGCGGTGACCTTCAAGGGGTCCATGCGAATACCATCAACGAAGAAAATGTGGCCAAGGTATTATACGCTTGAGGCAGCAAAAGTGCATTTGTTGAGCTTGGCGTAGAACTTTTGGTCTCTGAGTATAGAGAGGACCTAACGGATGTGCTGAAGGTGAGTCTCGAGGGTGAGATTGAAGACCAGGATCATCAAGATAGACGACGACACATACTTCGAGAAGATCGCGAAAGATGTGATTCATAGTAGACTGGAAGGTCGTTGGGGCATTTGTGAGGCCAAAAGGCATCACAAGGAACTTGCAGTGCCCGGAGCGAGAGCGGAAGGCTGTCTTATAAGTATCTTCTTCGTGAATGTGGATCTCGTGGAAGCCACTACGGAGGTCAATCTTGGTGAAATATTTGGCTCCACAGAGTCTATCAAGAAGTTCGGAGATGCGGGGTAGTGGATACTTGTTCTTCATCGTGATCCGGTTCAAGGCGCGCTAGTCTGTGCACATGCGGAGTTCAGATGTGCCTTTTCTTAACGAAGAGGCAGTTGGTACCGAAGGGTGATGAGCTAGGTTAATGAATCATTTTTCAATGAGTTTATTGAGTCACCGTTTCATTTCCTCGGCCTCAAGGAGGAAGGGTTGGTATGGTGGCGGACAGGGGGGAGTGTGGTCGGGTTCCAGATCGATGGTGTGAGAGGCGCCACGATTGGGGGGTAGACTGGCCGGCAAGGACTCGGGAAAGACGTCATTGAACTTCGTGAGAAGGGAAATGATGTGTGGGTCGAAAGGAGGGGCTTGATGTGGCTTGTCCGTGGGAAGCAGGTCCTCGGGACGCCCATAATTAATGACGAGGCAATAGTAGGCAGCGTCGGGAAATTGGCGGGTCATGTGGAGGAACTGATAAGGGGAGACGGAGGGTGGGGTAGTAGGAGGAAGAAGGTAAGGAATGTCAAGGGTAGCGTTTGGAGATGTAGTAAGGCGAAAGAATGATGGATGGAATGAGTAAGGCATGTAATGGTCAAGCCAAGGGGTTCCTAATACGATGTCACACATGAGGTGCATGACATCGAAGGAGATCTGACTGCGAAGGGGACCAACAATCATGGTGATCTCAGGAATAGTGCGATCGACAACGATGGTTGAGTCCTTGTCCCCTTGTCGGATAATAATAGGGGAGTCGTAGCCGGTAGAAGAGAGACTGACTTTGCGTACACAAGAGTCGGTGATGAAGTTGTCGGTGGCACCAATATCAAGGATGGCTCGGAACTTCATCGTAGTTGCGCCAAGAGAAACGGAGACAAACTTGAGTTGCAATTAACCGGTTCCAGCACAAGCAGAGGAGGCAGCGTTGCTCCAGGCCTAGTCTAACCAGCTGATCGTGTTCGGCTTGTTCCTCAATAACATCAGAGATGGTAATTGAAGAGGGTTTGGGGAGGAGGGTGGAAGTGCACGAGGCAACGATGATCTCGTCCGGCACAATAGAGGATGGTGCCTGTGGAGGAAGGTGCACGCCAAGATCGAGGGTACAAAGGTCATGCTGAGGAGGGGCGAGGTCCCGCAGCGACCGAAAGAGAAGATTTGCTCACGTGGCGAGTGAACAGGCCGGCATTGGGGCAGTTGGTTTGCAGGTGTTGAAGTTGCCGACAACGGAAGCAGCCATTGTTGGCCTGCAAGTATGCTCGTTCCTCAGTTGTGAGTTTCTTGAGACGGGGGGGTTGGGTGGAGGAAGATGGTTGAGCCATGCGGTCCTTGCATTCCATATGCAAGAACTGGATGGTGTTGAGTTCGTCCGAACTAAGGGACACCGGGGACGAGGTGTCGGAGATGATGTCGGGATCAACGACAGGGGCTGTAAACTCGTCCGAGAAAGTGGTGGAGGTGGTGTCTTCGGAGGTGATGTTGTGAAAGAAGTGAGGGCGGGAAGGGGCCGATGTGAGTGCGGCCTTGTAGGGGGAGAGGAGGCAATCGATTCGGAGAGCACGAGTGAGGAGGTCGGCAAGGGTCATGGAGGGCTCGTGGACAAGGGTTGTCGCTAGGTCCTTGCGGCATACTCGCTTGACGCGGGAGATGAATGCGGTGCCACTGACGACATCAATGAGGATGTGTTGAAGAAGCGAGCGGACGTATTGAACAAAACGGTCGGTTGGCCCGTTTTGGTGGAGCCGACAAAATTGGTCGAGATAGTCGTCGACCGTTTCCTGTGGACAGAAGGTGGAGGTGATCATGGTGGCCCACTCAAGAAAGGAGTGAGGCGGAAGACTGGCATGATGGAGGTTGGACATTTATGTGTACCACCAGCGAGTGGCACTGTCTAGGAGTTTGGTGCCGACGATGGGAGTCAGTGGATGACGGGAACGTTGTGGAGGGAGAAGGCTTGTTGGAGTTTGGTGAGAAAGAGGAATACATCCTCATGGGGTTGGTCGAAGAAGGTAGGGATCTCGTTGGCGCGGAATGATGGAGGGATATTGTCGACTTTGGGAGCAGTGGCGGCGAGGTCGTTGAAGTCAGGGGTGGGGGAGGAAGAAGCGATCCGGGTGAAATCATTGGTGGGGTTGGTGGGAATGGGAGTGTTTGGGGGAAGTACTGGAAGAGCAGGATACAAAGCTTGTGGTGTGGAAGCGATCAGGGTATAAGTGAGGAGGGTGAAGGTGATGGTGGACAAAGTTAAGAGAGGTTTTGATCTAGGGGGGATGGTCGACGACTGTGTGACGACAGGGGTTGTCGTCTTGGGCGAGGGGGGAGGTGGGATGACCATAGTGGAGGTGGTGGTGGATGAGGGCGGGGGCGTGGATGACGGGCTGGCAAAGAGAGTGGTGGAGGTGGAGGTGGACGAGGAGGTAATAGAGATAGATGTGGAGGAGGGAGGGGGAAGGGTGATGGTGCCCGAAGTGGAGGAGGGGGTCGTGGTGGTGACGACCTGGATGGTGGAGGAGGAGGTAATAGAGGTAGATGTCGAGGCGAAGGGTGGGGCAAGGGTGATGGAGCCCAAAGTGGAGGAGGGGGCCGTGGTGGTGACGACCTGGATGGTGGAGGAGGCCTGTTGTTGTTCAACGGTGGTTATCCGGTTAGAAAGGCCGGAGAGGGACGCTTGGAGGGAGTCGAGGGTGACCTTCATGGAGGTGATGAGGGAGAAGAGGGTGGAAGAGTCAGCGACGGCCTCCTGGGCGTCAACCTGTTTGCCAGTGAGTTCGCGGCGGAGGCTATCGACAGACTGTGTGTCCAGGGAGGTCATGTTGATGCTAGATTCAACGGCCATCACAAAGGAAACGGTCGGGGTAGTGGCGGTTGATGGAGAAGCGGGTGGTGATGAGGTGGAGGCGGCTGTAGTAGCGGTAGCAGCGGCGGCGCGCTGAGAGTTCTTGGTTTGGCGTGGCATGCCCGGGGGGTTGAAGGCTTTTATTTAGAAAATGAAGAGGATTTTGAAAGGTTTGGGGGGGGGAGGAATTGAAGGGAAAAAAAAAAAAAAAATTATTCTGAATAATTGAAATTTTCAAGAATAAGTGATGAAAAAAAAAAAAGATATTTTGCATGAATTTGACAAAAGGAAGATGTGACAAAATGGTCGGCGAGGGGAAGGAGGACCTCGCGTTAATGTGCGCTAAACGGAGCGGCGATAGCGGTGGTGGCGGCGCCCGATCGTCGATGGCGGCTGTGCAGGACGCAATGTCGGGTATGTGAACGCTGATCTCCTTGTACGAGGCGCCTACCCTACCAGGCACCATAACTGTGTGAGAGCTATGGCGATAGTTCCCTGGTGTAGCCTAACCCTTGAGTGGGTAGGGAGTGCTTTGCACTCTTACGCCACGGCATCCTGGCAGCTCCGCACCTGACCTTCACACCAACCATCATGCCTAACAAGATCTCGATACCAGAGGAGCCATCCTCCCCTCAAGCCTCCTACTAGATAGGGGGGCCTCCTTTTTCACCATCCAAAGGTCGTGCACTGTACTTCACGACACGCCATCCCCACTGCCTCGTTTACTTAGAAAAACATCGAAGATGGAGCGGCGCACCTGGATGCAGTGGGAGAGCGTGCGGCTGCGGTGGCAGCGCTCTGGCATGTCCAAGGACTACAACAAGTCTCATTCGACCTACCTACGTCCCAAGGCAGTCTGATGCTCATTAACTTTTTTTCCTGTTTTTCCTACGCCTTGGTACTAGAAGGAATGGCATCGTGAGATATACAGATATGTTTTAATTTAGTAATTTGGCCAGTTTTCTTCGGCACATCCTGTTCGCATGTGGGTGTAGTTTAGGTTAGCTCCGGTGATTTAGTAGGGTTATATATCAGGTTGCTTTTAGACTCAACATATCCTCTTGCTTGGCTTGCAGTACTTGCTAGGTTGTTGGTTTTGGATGTGCTTGAATTGGGAATTGTGTCCGCTATGCTGTATCGAACGCAGTTGGGCTTTTTGTTGGTTGTCGTTCATCATCACGCCTATGTCACATTAGGCTGCTTGTCCTTTTCCCTTCTGGTCTCGCTTTAGTAGGTTCTTAAGCACTGGGGCATGTTTGCAGAGGTTTAGGGTGATACCTATAGGGTTGGGATGACTTGTGAGACCTGGTGAAGAGCAAACTAGAGTTGTATCCATTGGGTGCGTGGTGGGAAACCCGTCTAGGCAACAAAGGCTCTTCACAGTGTTTTGGATAGTGAGGATGAGAGGGTAACCCTAATGCTTAGTTTTTCTTACCAGCTCTTAGTTATCGAGATTGCTCCTTTAGTTTGATAAGTTGTAGATTATCTGATTGTCATAAAGCCCTGAAGCCCTATGGGTGGCGGCGCCATCACCGGGAGTGGGAGACTCAATAGTGGCAGTGGGAACGTTTCTCGAGCGCCCTCGCGTGATCGATGGCCTTGGTCAGTCGTATCGCGCCGAAGCTAGGACCCGAGATTTGTGTTTGATGTTGCAAATTTTCAGAAGCATATGTCCATTCTCAGATCCTCGAGGTTCTTAAACGCTGGGGCATGTTTGCAGTGGTTAGGGTGATACTCATAGGGTTGGGATGATATGAGAGACCCGGTGAAGAGCAAACTAGAGTTGTATCCATTGGCTGCGTCGTGGGAAACCCGTCTAGGCAACAAAGCCTCTTCACAATGCTTTGGATAGTGAGGTTGAGAGGGTAACCCTAATGTTTTTTTGTTCCGCTAGTTTGATGTGTTGTAGTCTTGTAGATCTTCAAAACTTTGATTGTTGTAAAGCCCTGAAGCCCTTTGGGTGGCAGCGCCATCAGCAGGAGTGGGAGACTCACTAGTGGTGATTCACAGGGTCACCCATGCCTTGAGTGGTGTAGGGAGTGTGCTACGCTCGACTCTGTATCATCGGGGAATCTCGCTCGTATCTTCTCCTCCCATATATTTTGTGTGCGCGGTTACACATCTCTTCCCCCCTTTTTTTTAATTCCCTAGGACCCTTTGTATGTGGCTGCTCCCTTGATTGTTTTCAATCGTTTATTTACTGTAGACAATATTAATACGCTCAGTTCCAATTTTGGTTAAGATTAAACTTAGTATGTACTCGGACTGAATTTTAGAATTGAATTACATCTAAGAATTTAGTTCGCCTTTGCAAATAACTTTAGGATTAAATTGTAAAATTTTCGTGAATTGCCTTGTGCATATTCGAGACTTGCAGTTCATAGCTCGTAGTTCTTTGCCAATAGTGTTTCGATTTTATAAACACGTCGGCGTTTTCCTGTGCAGCGAGGATAGCATACTGACATAGATTTGCTCTGGAATTTTTATTTTTGGAGATTCCTTTAAGGGACACTGGACCTGATTTCCAGGAGCCTAAAGCTGAGTATTGGCCTCAACAGGTTTGTATCGGGTTGATATGTAGGGGTTTTTTCCCGGGCCCCGATGGTCTCATTGGAATGAAAATGTTAAGTTTCTCCAAAAAAAAAAAAAAAAAAAAAAAAAGGAAGATGTTAATCAAGTAGAAAGCGAAGTAGAACAAATCGAAATCCACACAATGTGTCAAAAATCACACACAAGGTGTCAAAAAACAACACGTGTACCAACTACACAGAAGAAACATAAAGAATGATGGCATGTGTGGCGTCCCCGACGCCACGTTTCGACGGTTGCCAACCCGTCATCATCAGGGGGAGTCCACCACTACGTCCTCGACAATTCTGACTATCCGACAAACCCACTTCCGTCCCTTCGCCACTACACAAATCATAGCGACTACGATCTATCAGACCTGCTTAAGAAACCGAAACCTCTATTAGTCAAGGTACTTATACCTACCTGGCTGTCGGGGACGACCTACCTTGTTTCGATTCTACTGGGACCTTTGGTCTGAAAGCAAAACAAGTGCTCAAAATGTGCCTCAAAGGACCAGGTCCAGTCGGTCCAAAATTTTCACACCAATCCTGAAAGGACCGAAAAGGCCAGACTGGTCCAAAACCACACCAAACATCCTACTAAACAACAAAACTAATCCCAAATACCGCATCCACACATCCACCTGACAATGACCTCCCTATGCGAACTTCCACACAAAACTAATGTACATTCTGTTCAGGTTCCCCTAGTTATAAAACAACTTTGACAATATCGAAAGGGCCAGACTGGTCCAAAAAACACACCAAAACATCAGCAAAAGGCTGATCCAAATACCACGTCCGCACAACAAAAAGTGCACAGTCTGTTCAAGCTACCCCCGTCGTAAAACATCGGCAAGACGAAAAGGGCCTGACCGGTCCAAAACACACCTGTCATCTTACTGAAACAGTCAAAGCTAATCACAAAACCGCGTTTGTACAACCGCCTGACAATAACCAAGTCCGAACTTCCGCCATAACTGTCATGGCTCTCGGTTACATCATATCAACAACAGTTAAACCTCAGTCCATCTCAGGCACATCGAGGAATATGTAGATCTTCAAATGTCATCTTTACAAGCTGAGAATCTGCTCAGAATTCTTAAGAAAACAGACCTGGGGACGTCCTTCAATCTTTGTTCTCTGGCCAGGGTCAACACACGCAAAGGTATCTCAGAACATATAGAAGTATTACGATCAATTCGGTGCAAGTAGCTGCAAATTACAACGCTCTTCTATCGTTTACAACCATAGGATTTGAACGACTAGCCATTCTGCATTCCAGTCTCTCTGAGTCCCAGACGTTTTTTTCGTTTTTTGACAACTGTACACATCCGAGATACGGATAGCTCTGAGAGACCCCTACTTCGCAGCCGAGGAAAGGTAAGCAGCCACTCCCATCATCTGTCCGTTCTAATGTGAGATTATCAGGATAGCACTTGACGAATCTGTCGTATACCTTCGCCCTTTCATGTTCAAACAGTGGCGCCGTGAAAACCGTAACTTCGTCCATCAAACGGACTCCGAAGACTAGCTTGTTCCTTCTCCCCAGGCTATGGATAAAGGTAAAAGGAACACAAAATACACGCGAGTGATGGACTGATGCTCTTGCCCATCGGGATGCCTACCACTTGTCTCAACAAAACATTCGTCACAAAAGTATAGGTGTGTGGCAGTTCCACTTTGATGAACTTACCCATATCCTGGAGGTCCAGGCGATGCCAGTGGTCAGCGCCTGTAGTCACCCCGAATGAACAGCTTTTCCCACGCGTGTTCACCCGAATAAACTTTCTTTCCTTATCCATATGAAAGGAAAGGATCCATTGTAAGGCTCTTATGATATCGTCGTGAGGAAGTTTACTGAACATTTCCTTAATATCCTAGGAGCGTGCTACAAAAGTATCTCCTTCCGACTGAAGGATCTTGCGATTAAAACTTCGTAGATGATCAACCAGGTACGAAACATAAATCAAATTGAAGTGCCAATTTTTTGGCAACGAATTCAGGAGATGATTAAGACCTTTTTCCACAATTCTACCGGTTTTAACCATCGGTTCATTAAAAGTAGGGCATATGGGTCTGAATCTACTAAGATATTTTTGTTTTGGCATAACATAAGCTACACCAAAAGCACCTCGGTGATCCCATTGAACAAACTCCTTCAATCCCTCAGACTCTATTGTTTCACGAATTTCCCTCAGAATGACGTTAGACGGTACATCGAGGATCCGATACCCGGAATTGCAGACAAACATATTCATCATAGCTTCAAAGTAAAGTGTAGGACACATGACAACAGTTTCACCAAGATTATGATCCAACGGGGTGAAAACCAAACCATCAAATCGATTTTTTATCTCCCTGACCGTAGAGGAGTAGAGGCAACTGTTATCGACCAATACTTCGTTTGTAAAGCACTTCGTCAAATTGTCACATATCAAAGTAGGTATAGCCCCATTCAGGTTAGCCCATTCCTGAAATCCTTGAAGGATTTTGTTATGCAAATCCTTAACCCTGTCTCCTAACTCAGGAATAGGGCTATTCTTAGCATTACCCAACATGGGGTGAGTATCTGCGAGCTCACTCAAACGGAAACGAACGTCCCCATCCGTACGAGGGTAGGGCAGGCCTGCACAATGGCAGGTCAACACTGGACAGGCGGCAAAACGCCGCTGATTATGCAAGATGTCCGAAATAAAATGGTTCTTGACCCAGACAATTCGGACTTTCCTGCGCATTCTTTGTTTGAAGCATTATGGCAGATCGCATGCCATCAATAGATCGTTAGTCACCTTACGGACTTCGACCAACTTGATACGGACGTTGAAACGTAGTTTTATGATAAGATCAGCGCTCAGACTAAGATGAAACTTGTCTCTAAAGCATCTGGCAACAAGATGCCTCAAATATTTTCTTGTGGATTTACGACAGAAATCCTTGATCACGCGATACAATCTCGACACTGCTTCAATCTTCCAATGGTATATCTCAAAGATGCGTTTAGGATTCCGCAGGATTCCAAATAGAATACCTTTGACAGAGTTACATTGACGTTTCCAGTTACAGAGTTAGGAAACTTGAAAATTCCCACCCTTTTCGAAAAGTGATTTGCAATCTTTTAGAAGATATTCCCCCTCCTGACAACGAACTTTAGATTGGCCGAAAGCTTTATGAAATTTCCTCCATGAGGAATACCAGGTGTCGTTCTTGATAGTAGAGAAGGAAAGTGATGAAAATCTGTGTTCATCTTGTTTCTTAAAATAAGCAAAAAAGTCAACCACATTGGTGTTAGGATCTCCTTCGTGTAAACAGACTACACAAAATTGACGAGCTTTCGTATCCTCCACTCGCACTTTCCCTCCCTCCCTTTTCCCTTTCGGATATGACTTCTTACCTGGTTTTGCTTTCTGGATACCCACAGATTTAAAAAAGGCGCCCATTGCTTAATATAGACGGATTCCAACTTAGTTCGTTGCCGCACTGGCCGTCTACCGGAATAAGAACATACTTAGAGGTCCCAAAGCAATTCAGCCATCTATAAAAATGTGTCGGACTCCTATTCACACATGCATACAAATGTTCGCACCAACGTGAGATGAGATCCCTACAAGTCTTACCGACGTACTGTGATTTACAATATGGTGTTGTAGCAATATATACACAGTCGCGGATCTCAAGAAACCTCTCCCCGAACTTCTCATAAAGGCGAAGCCAAGATTTTACACATTTCTCATTCCATCTAATCTCACCGTCCAACGTCAACTTAACGAGTAATTGAAGCAAAATCTCCATAGTCGGATCCACCTTACTCAACTGACATCCCCAGTCGGTTGAAACTCTGACATAGTGCCATGTTACATCAGTGCTTAAGTCTCCTCAGGCCTCTTCATCCTCGTCATCGTCGACAATATCCTGTACAACGGCCTCAATTTGCTCTTCCACAAGTTCCTCGGCAACCTGCTCTTCACCATATGCCAGCTTAGTACGGTGTTCGACGATATCAAAGATCGCATCAACCTTGTTGGCGTACGGTATTCCCTCCTTCCGGCAAATGTCCTGAAGCTCCGGAGCGTCGGCCTTGCGGAGTTCTTGCATAACGTCATTATGGTACTTGAGTTTTCCCACCGTGCCAACCGCAGCCAGAATATTCTTACGCTTCATAGTAACTGGTGTCTTCTTCTTGGTTGATCGTGGAGTCTTCTTCTTAGATGATTGAGGAGTATTCTTGTCTGTTGAGCCAGGTGTCTTATTCTCTTCATCGCCTTTGGTCTTCGAGCGTGTGAGTCTCGTCGTAAGCCTGAGCGGTAGTACGGATCCTCGCTTACCGGTTCGTTTTGGAGCAGTCTCCATCGGGGGACTATCTTCGAAGAGCGGTTCCTCCCCACGTTTTCGTTTCTCTAAGATCCGCAACTCGCTTGCTCGCCGATTCAGCTCTTCATCTTCACTCTCGCCATCCTCCTTAGCCGAGACTTCCTCGTCGCTGGATTGCGTTGTCGGCTCTTTCCCTTTCCTCGAACGTACCAAACCAGCTTTCTGTGCGGTATAACGCAAACCTCTGTGCAGAACGTCATTAACCTCGCTCAACTTTATGTGCACTTGCATATTCACGGTCTTGTGCATCTCCTCGCGAAACTCAGCTTCCCTCTGGGCCTCAAGTGCTGCTTTCTCTGCGGCTTTCTTCGCCTTCTTGGTCTTCTTCTTCTCTCGTAGCTTCTTAGCTTCCTCCTCCTCATGGCGAAGACGTGCTTCCTCCGCTTTTTCCTTCTTCTTCCTTTCCTTTTCTTCCTTCTTCAAACGATCCTTTTCGATGTATTCACAACCGACGCCACACTCTGCACAAGTCTTCTATCTTCTTGACCATAGCGGGTTCCTGTGATGATGATCGAATCACTTGACCGCTTTCTTGCCACTTCGGGGAAAAAGATCTGCCCCTTCTGAAATCCGATGAGGTAGAAACCCCTTTGAATCTTCTACGCTCAGAAGGAGGGTACTTGCATTGGTTAGCGTAGTGACCCACCTCATTACACCTAAAGCAAGTAGGAGGGGGATGCCTCCCCCAATAACCAACTCGATCCCCGTACTCATGTCTTCCTTCTCGTCTCACTGGATCAAAGTCTCGGTCTCCATAGTCGTATCTGCCACTTGAAGCTTCGAAACTCCCTCGATCTCCATCTCGAAGTGTTGGATTGGGGTGTCCACGTGAACCACCTAGCCGGTTCCCGAACCGAACTCGATTCGCGAAATCTGATCGTCCATCGTATCCCTCTCGCATGGCCCACCACTGACCGGGAATGACAGACCCCATCAGTCTGACATACCTCATTCGGCCCACCTCAGGTCAGGACCAATCAGACCATTTGTCTTGACGACCCCTTTAACATGCCTCCAGTTCAGGACCACCATACCCACTACTCGAGCATGGTGACCCTTTGACACTCTCGCCATGACACCCAGACTATAGCGGGTCTGGTCACTCTATGACAATAGACCTCCCGTCAGTCATACTGCCCCGTACCCGGATTTGACCATTGTGGTCGGGGACCGACTCACCCCACTTGTGGTTAATGGCCCCGGAAATCTTCGGGGAATCATCCAATGAAGCTTGCAACGAATTTTGAGTGAATTTGCTAAAGAGTTTGATTTTTTCTTTGCTGAAGGTCTTAAGAGGTTCGTATTTCGTCAATAAAGTATGCTTGCTCTTTAAGATCTAGGGTTATTAATGTGTCCCTTCGTTGACGAATTGGTGGTGATTGATATTACTTTCATTCCTATAATGCAATCTTCACTGAGATAATAATTGGGTTTCGTCGAAGATTACAATTAGGTTTTCGTCGAAAATTGCGGTTAAGTTCTGTTGGAGCTCGCGATTAGGATTCATCGAAGATTCCAGTTAGGGTTTCGTCGAAGATTACAGTTTGTTGTCGCCGAACATTGCAGCAACGGGTCGTTGAAAATTATTGCAGTTTGGGTTCGCTGACCATCGCCGAAATTCATTGTCAAGACACTAAGGTTTCGCCAAAGACTGTGAAGGATTCAAAGTTTCGCCGAGGATTATCAACACGCTACGATTTCGCCAAAGATTTGGAAGGCTAGTGAAGCTTCCCTAGGGTTTCGCCGAAGATTACACTTATTGTTTGTTTTTTTTTTTCGGTAACTTTGTCGTTTTTAAAGTTCTCGTCCTTTTAACCCTCCCTAGGGCTTCGCCGATGCTTCCAGGTAGGGTTTCGCCGAAGATTACAATTTCTTGCCGCCCAACATTGCATTAACGGGTCGTTGAAAATTATTGGAGTTTGGGTTCGCTGAGCATCGTCAAAATTCATTGTCAAGACACTAAGGTTTCGCCAAAGATTGTGAAGGCGTCGAAGTTTCGTCGAGGATTATCAACACTCTAAGATTTCGCCAAAGATTAGGAAGGCTAGTGAAGCTTCCCGAGGGTTTCGCCGAGGATTACACTTGTTGTGTTTTTTTTTTTCGGGAACTTAGCCGTTTTTAAAGTTCTCGTCCTCTTAACCGTCCCTAGGGCTTCGCTAAAGATTACACTTATTTTTCTTCTTTTTTTTCCTCGAGAACTTAATCGCTTTTATGGGTCAACCACCCACTCAATATCCCTGGGGCTTCGCCGAAGATTACACTCATTTTTCTTTCTTTTTTTCATCGGGAACTTAGTCGTTTTTGTAGGTCAACCACCCACTGAACCTCCCAGGGCTTCGCCGAAGATTACACTTATTTTTCTTCTTTTTTTTCTTTGGGAACTTAGTCGTTTTTGGAGGTCGAACGCCCGCTCAACCTCCCCACGGCTTCGCCGAAGATTACACTTATTTTTTTTCTTTTTTTTCCTCGGGAACTTAGTCGTTTTTGTGGGTCAACTACCCACTCAACCTCTCCAAGGCTTCACCGAAGAGTTTGGTTCGCTGAGCATCGCCGGAATTGATTGTCAAGACACTAAGGTTTAAGCCAAGGACTGTGAAGGCGCCAAAGTTTCGCCAGGGATTATCAACACGCTAACATTTCGTCAAAGATTAGGAAGGCATGTAAAGCTTTCCTAGGGTTTCGCCGAAGATTACACTTATTTTTCTTTTTTTTTTCCCTTGTGAACTTAATCGTTTTTATGGGTCAACCACCCACTCAACCTCCCCAAGGCTTCGCCGAAAATTGTACTTATTTTTCTTCTTTTTTTTCCTTGGGAAACTTAGTCGTTTTTGTGGGTCAACCACCCACTCAACCTCCCCAGGGCTTCGTCGAAGATGACACGTATTTTTCTTTTTTTTTAATTCGGGAACTTAGTCATTTTGGGGGGCCTACCGCCCGCTCAACCTCCCAGGGCTTCACCGAAGATTACCCTTATTTTTCTTTTTTTTTCTTCTTTGGGAACTTAGTCATTTTGTGGGGTCAACCACCCACTCAACGTTCTCAGGGCTTCGTCGAAGATTACACTTATTTTTCTTCTTTTTTTTCTTTGGGAACTTAGTCGTTTTCTGGGGTAAACTGCCCACTCAACCTCCCCACGGCTTCGCCGAAGATTACACTTATTCTTCTTCTTTTTTTTCTTTGGGAACTTAGTCGTTTTTGGGGGTCGTCCGCGCACTCAACCTCTCCAGGGCTTCGCCGAAGATTACAATTATTTTTCTTCTTTTTTTTCTTTGGGAACTTAGTCTTTTTTTAGGGTCAACCACCCACTCAACCTCCCAGGACTTCGCCGAAGATTACACTTATTTTTCTTCTTTTTTTTCTTTAGGAACTTAGTCGTTTTGGGGGGTCCACCGCCCACTCAATCTCCCCAGGGCTTCGCCGAAGATTACACTTATTTTTCTTCTTTTTTTTCTTTGGGAACTTAGTCGTTTTGGGGGTCAACCGCCCACTCAACCTCCCCACGGCTTCGCCGAAGATTACACTTATTTTTCTTCTTTTTTTTTTATTGGGAACTTAGTCGTTTTGGGGGTCGACCGCCCACTCAACCTCCACAGGGCCGCCAAAGATTACACTTATTTTTCTTCTTTTTTTTCTTTGGGAACTTAGTTGTTTTTGGGGCGTCGATCGCCCACTCAACCTTCTCACGGTTTCGCCGAAGATTCACTTATTTTTCTTCTTTTTTTTCCTCGGGAACTTAGTTATTTGTGTGGGTCAACCACCCACTCAATATCCCCAGGGCTTCGCCGAAAATTAGAGTTATTTTTCTTCTTGTTTTCCTCGGGAACTTAGTGTTTTTTTTGGGTCAACCGCCCACTCAATATCCCAGGGCTTCGCCGAAAATTACAGTTATTTTTCTTTTCTTTGGAAACTTAGTTGTTTTGGGGGGTGAACCACCCAGTCAACCTCCCCAAGGCTTCGTCGAAGATTACACATATTTTTCTTCTTTTTTTTCTTTGGCAATAAAAAATAAGTGTAATGTTCGGTGAAACTGGACCCTTTGCTGGATGACTTTGGTGAGTTGGTTCTCAAGATGTGCCATTTGCCGAAGGACTGTTGAGATTTGGTGAGTTGGTTCCAAGTTTGATCGTTTGCCGAAGGGCTACGGTGAGTTTGTTCTCAAGTTGGCCGCTTTGCCGGAGAGCTTTGGTAAGTTAATGCTCAAGTTGGGCCCTTTGAACTTACATTCTAGGAGATACAACAGCTAGTTGTAGCGCCTGAAATAGGTGAAGAGGTCTGCCAAGTCTTAGAGCTTCGGGGTTTCATCTATCCACATCCCCTCTTCATTCTCGTTGTGGCAATAAAATCGGAAGTAGCGTGGCTGGAAAGCAGTGTATATTTTCATATTCTTGCTCATCCTATCGATGAAAGTAGCCTCTTTCTATCTGTCTACGTGCATGGCTGGAA